AAAGCCACAGCCACCGGTGGCAATGATCAGCACTGGTGCAGAACTGCCCAGCTGTCCATATCAGTTAGCCCATCATAACACAAGTCGAGGGATAAATGCTAGAGACCAGAATAGAAGGAGAACAACCTTTAGCTCACAATAGGGAACATGGGTGAATGGCTGCTAATTACGGTCGTCCATTAAAGATGATGAACGTCTGCAGGGTGATCCCTACTCAGGTTTACATGGATATAGAAACAAGATGAGTGTGTCTATGCTCAGCTCTGCAAAAATATATATATAGCTTTCAAATGTATTCATTTTAGTGCTGCCTGCGAAAGTAAGCATATTACTTAAAGAGATACTTCAGGATTTAGCATTAAGCTTTGTATTAGTAGAAAACCTGTAGTATTTTCGAATTACCGTACTTTACACCCTCATATCCCCCTGAGACGGAGATTTATGTATTTTTTTGTCTGGAAAAAATCCTCCGATAACGATTTTTTGATGCATTTCATGATGGATTTTTCATTTAGCATTTCTAAATGAAACACATCCAATTGGGAAAAAAAATGTGGGAAGGGACTTGCGTGAGAAAATATTAGAGCCCGACCGATAAAGGATTTTGAAGGCCGATACCGATACAAATATTTTTGGGTTTTAAAATCCGATATTCCGATATATCGGCCGATATTTTATTTATTTATTTTTTTAAACTGGAGATGATTAGTCACAAATGTTGTCATGCTTATTTGAGTTCAGAGAACTGATGCGGATGTTCTCAGATGACCAACTCAACGAGTGTTGCCAACAGGAACGGTGTAGAGCGCCCTCTGGTGGACAAACTATACAACTCCAACACTCATGACATGGTTCAAGCGTGTTTCGTCCGTTTTTATTTTATTTTTGAAATATTCATTTATAGGCCATTATAACCGCCGATACTGATAGCTTGGAAAATGCCTAATATCGGCCGATAATATCGGCCTGGCTCTAGAAAATAACACATCCGAATTGTGCAAATCTGAACACATAATAAAAAAAAAACATATTAATGAAAAGCAATAAGCATCGGATTATTCATTTTTGAACAATTCGAATCAACATGTCACAATAAACAAAAACTATTTTACATGCATTATTGTATTATTTAACAACCAGACTATTATTTAAAAGAACAAGCATTACTCAGAAAACCAAATATCATTGCAATAAATATTAGTTCATCAGCAGAAAGCTCATTTAAATAATGGACTTTTAACAAATATCAGCTAAGCTGCTCTTTTAAGATACGAGTTCCGCCTTAAGAGCTTAATTAAAAAGCTTTTAAAGCTTGTTTTTTTCTCTGTTGCTAATCATTGAGACAGTGAAGTATTTACCTGAGCGAACTCAATCCCCGGTCTTACACAGCATGGCAAATAAATCTCTAATGACTGAATTTGTTCTCCCTGCACTGGTACACAATTAGACACGTTTTGCCAAGAAGAGCCGAGTCCTCGGTCTGCCTGCAGGTGCCTGAGCATTCAAATGACAAGCCATGAAGCCCGTAATAAGTGCAAGCAGACATCTGAGACCAAGAGCATTCATCTCTGCTTCGTGTCGCATTAGAGGCCGCAGGTTCACGATTCAGCTACAACTTCACATTAAAGCCTATATGCAGGAGAGGTTTTATTTTAATAAGAGGTTAGTGAGCTACAGAAGATTAAAGTGCAAAGGCGAACGACACTTCTTGGAAATGTACGTTTAATAAGCAAGCATGCATCTTGGTTCCAGGAAATCAGTGTACTGTCCAGCTTATGAATGTCAACACTCAGGCAAATGCGGTTTAAATGGTGACAATCAAACTGGATTTGGACATTTTCCAGAGAAAATGTGAGTGCTGCGTGCTTGTAAAACTCATCAGCATCAAGGATGTTATGGTTGCCGGGGTATTACTATGTGGTTGCTAGGGTGTAAAATATTAGTTTGTTATATTATTATATATAGTGTCATAGCACAAATGATTCAGGACGAGTTATGCAATGAAGTTTATTACAAGGGTTAGTGATTCGAACAAACATAAAAACACATAACTTGTCTAAATGAATGTTATATCAAACCTTTTGCCTGTAATTATGCACATTATGTTATTTTAAAAACAAACCGTGTGTGTTCGTACATTTGTATAACCTTTTTTGGCTGCATTCAATTATGTTTTGATCAATACATGCATGCATGATGTTATTTGAACTATTATTATTATACTACACTACAAATTTATGTTCAAATGAGCCAGTTTTTTTTTTACATAACCACATGCATTTCCGTATTAGGTGATAGTATATGCACAAAATCACCCAATTAACATAACAAATCAATGCGACTTACTATGATGGCTTGAGTTAAGATAAAGAATTGCTTGCTGGGGGTGAGCGACACGAATGCTGAAGACGTCCATCTTTTGTGCGAGCAGCTCTTGGCAGATTCATGAGCCTTGGTCATGGTGTGGCGACCTGCCCTCCATCACACACTCGTTCCAATCCTGATGTTCCCTTCAGGAGATTTACAGCTCGAATTGAACTCATCAGACAAGCTGCAAAACAAGGAGACGGCGAGAGGCCATCAGTCAAAGTACACCCTGTAATCACAACTTAACTTTTTGTTCGGCCAATTAGTTTGTGAATTGCTTAGAATTATAGCTTTGGTCTTAAAGGGCTACTTCAGGATTTAGCATTAAGCTTTGTATTAGTAGAAAACCTGTAGTATTTTCGAATTACCGTGCTCTCCACCCTCATCCCCCCCTGAGACGAGAGATTTATGTATTTTTTTGTCAGAAAACTGTCAAAATCCTCCGATGACGCAATTATTCAACGATTTTTTGTCTCCAGTCAGCTCGCAGGCTCTTGTTCTGTGGAGAAAGCTGAGTAGTCGGGGTTACCGTCCTCTTTTTCCAGGTGTTCTGCCGATTTTTGCTGCCTTGTCGAAAAATGCTACCGTAGCGCGAATTGATCACAGAATGCCGATTAAAGTCGTATGAAACACAATTATAATACAATTCTAAGTTTTGAGTAGCAACTGTATACTGTAGACTACTGTTTTTATTTTTTAAAACGGTGTGAAAAGTAAAAATTATCATAAAATATTAATCTTTGACAAAGTACACCTTTCCTCATAGTAACTGAAACTTTCAGTTATTCCTTTTCAGCTGGCTGACCGTACAAATATTCATATGATAGTAAGCATTTTTTTTAAAAGGGAAATTATACATTATAACAGGAAAATGTACCTTTTGTGAAAAAAAAAAAAAAAAAAAACGGAGTCTGCACATGCGCATAACTGGTAAGTAGCAAATCTCGATGGGTAGCATGAATTGTCAGAACATGTACTTTGACAAGTCAAAGATGAATATTTTATGATAATTTTTACTTTTCACACCGTTTTAAAAATAAAAACAGTAGTCTACAGTATACTACTCATAACTTATAATTGTATTATAATTGTATTTCATACGACTTTAATCGGCGGCATTCTGTGATCAATTCGCGCTACGGTAGCATTTTTCGACAAGGCAGTAAAAATTGGCAGAACACCTGGATTCAGCTTTAGCTTTCTGCGGTCGTCATTCATTGTTTACATGCACAGCTTTTGTTTCAATCTAACTGAATTCATTGCGATTGGTGAATCTGAATGTAGTGTTTACATGAACGCTAAACAAGTGATCGGTTGATGTGCGTTGTAACATTGCTAAAAAAAAATCGTCCCACTCGCCACAGTAAACATGATGAATGGCGACTGTAGAACGCAAAAGCCGAATCCCGGACATTTTGGGCGATCTCGAAACACATTTTCGGGCAGACTCATCACGGACACTCACTAGTAGCCTAGACGTGTTGTTTAACTACTGCGCTCTGTTACCGGTAGGTTTGTTGCTCCTAATTTATTTGTATTAATTAACCACTTGTAAACTTACACCTACTGTTCTTTTTTTTTTTTTTTTATAAATATATAGGATTTGCATTACATATTATAGTTGAATCGAGAATCGAATCGAGAGCTTGCGAATCGAAATAGAATTGAATTTGAACATCTGAATTGATACCCAGCCCAAAACTTTTTACATTTTCAAAAAACAACACCATTTAATATGATTTATTAGCGGTTTTCCTCACGAGGACGCAGAATTGGCCACACAAGGACAAGGATTTTGGATATTGCCATCTTGGGACATTATGTCCCCATAACATACAGTAAGGTTTAACAGGCCACACACACAACGATTAATCGCATCCAAAATAAAAGTTTGTGTTTACATAATACATGTTTGTGTAGTGTGTATAATTAATTTCTATATATAAAAACCCACACATGCATGTATATATTTAAGAAATATGTGCATGTATATATTTTATATATATTTATTCACAATTTTAGGGCTGTCAAAACGATTAATCGCATCCAAAATAAAAGTTTGTGTTTACATAATATATGTGGGTGTACAGTGTATAATTATTATATATATATAAATACACACACATGCTTGTATATATTTAAGAAATATTTTCGTGTATTCTGTATATAGATTTATATATAATTTATATTATATATAAATATTTTATATATAAATAATATTTTTTTCTTAAATATACATGCATGTGTGTTTTATATATATATACAAAATAATTATACACAGTGCACCCACATATATTATGTAAACACAAACTTTTATTTTGGATGCGATTAATCGCGATTAATCGTTTTGACAGCCCTAATATAAATATAAATATTTGATATATTAATAACACATTTTTCTTAAATATATACATGCATGCGTGGGTATTTATATATACAAATGAATTATACACACTACACAATAAACTTTTATTTTGGATGCGATTAATCGCGATTAATCGTTGCCCATCCCACCCTCCTCTGAAAGCCCCTCTTGATTTCTCCTAAAAACACCCATCATCAGGCACGATCGCCCCTCCTCCTTTACATCCCTCCTTCTCTCTCTCCTCCTCTGCATTTTCCTCACTCACTCACACACTCAGTCAGTCAGAGGAACATCAGCTTCCCGACACCAGCTGTCGGACGCTGCTTCATTTCACCACACACCAGCTCTGGGTGCAAACTCAGAAGGGGTGTTTGTGAAATTGAAAGGCGTCCTAACAGGGCAAACACGGACTCCATCATCAGAGAGGTACGGACGCTTCACGTTCTCCGGCATGAGGGTGTTTTGTGTGGGAACTGGAGGGAATAGTTTTTCTGTACTTTACAGGTGGAGTTATGTGCGATGCGAACAGCTGTTTGTAAAAGGACTTTGCACATCAATTATTATTGTGAGTTGTTATTGTAATGCAGATTCTTCTGGTTTTTCTTGACTAGATTGTTTGATCAGAGGCATTGCAGCAGGAGATACAGCTCTAAAGCCATCGTTCTCCTAACGCACACATGCAGATGAGCTGTACTTACAAGTGCTTTGCATGATAAATGCAAATTGCACGCATGCCAGTTAAAATTAAATGAGCGTGTGACTAGCTGTACTTCTTTTAAAACTCTTTTAAACAATTTATCACTGCTAAATGTACAGTTTTTATGACGTCTGATTGCAATCGACAGAAAAGCTAAACTAATATAAGGGCATTTTATTGATTTTATTGTTTGGGACTATACGCAATGTGTAATAATATAAATATATGGGAACACCATTAGTTGAACTAACATTAACTAACAACGAGGAATACATTTGTTACAGCATTTATTCATATTTGTTATCGTTAAAAAAAATCCAGCCGTTCATTGTTTCTTCATGTTAGTTCACAATGCATTAAGTAACGTTTTTGCATAATGTATTAGTAAATGTTGAAATTAATATTAACTACGATGCTGTAGATGTATTGTGCATTCTTAGTTCATGATGAACTTTATTGTAAAGTGTTACCAAATATATATATATTCAAAATACAAATAGTAGTTTAATGCAATGATATAGACATGCGTTTCTGTTTTTATCAAAATGGATTGTTACAATCAAAAAGCACACGTCATTTTTTGCCTTGTGCAGCTGAGAGTTTTAAAACCAATGTGACTAAAAATGCAACACATTTCTATGAGAATGTTTTCTATAATTATTGTTTTGCCTTTAGACATCAAATGAGTCCGGAAATTAAACATTTTGCTGGAAATTTATCAGCACTTTTCTGAAATGAAGCAAAAACTCTTTTCTAAAACCACAGATTACATGCATGTCATGATGTGGTTGTAGACACAGAGGAAGGTTCATATTTACCCTTGTTTGGATCAAGCCATCATTAAAAATTAATCACAACAAAGCTGTTGCTCTTTCTGACTGCATTAATATTACAATAACATCAACTACATTAACTTTTATCAGCTACATTAACTGTCTCATGCTTTGCTTGCCTAATGCGTTCAAGTCAATTTACTTTCTTAAAGGGATAGTACACTTTGAAATAAATGTTTGATATGTTTTAGCTTACCTCAAGGGCATCCAAGATGTAGCCCTTTGTAGTTTACATTTTGATATTTTTAGGTCGAACCGTTCAGTCATAAAATGGAGGTCTATGGTCACCACCTCAAAGAGCAGCACAGAGAAGTCCAAATTAAACATGATTTAATGACCCGTAAATGTAAGTACACATTGATGGCCTAAGACACGAAACGAGCGGTTTGTGTGAGAAAACGAACAGGATTTATATCGTTTTTACCTCTTGTAATCACAGCCACGTCCATCTGATCTGAGGGCGCGGGCGCTTTGTGGCTGTTCGTTTTCTCACACAAACAGCTCGTTTCGTGTCTTAGACCATCAATGTGTACTCATATTTACGAGTCATTAAATCATGTTTAATTTGGACTTCTCTGTGCTGCTCTTTGAGGTGGTGACCATAGACCCCCATTATATGACTGACAGTGACAGACATGAACGGTTTAACCTAAAAATATAAAAATTGAAACTACTGTGTAAACAAAGACACCTACATCTTGGATGCCTTTGAGGTAAGCTAAAACATACCCAAAAAATATTTTAAAGTGTACTATCCCTTTAAATATGCATTCTTGGTCCATTGCAGGTTATTCAAAAGAAAGAAAACCTCTAAACAAGCTCCACTCTTTGAAACCTGGTATTGTTGTAGTGCAATGACCTCTTTTCACAATCCAATCAATCGATGCATTAAATCACCCGCCTCACTTTTTTGCACTGAATGTGTCGTTTCATTTAGGAATGATATCATATTATCAAAGTAAATGCATACTAATATATTGGCTATAGCTTAGTCTAATCGTCATAGAATTATTTATTTAGACTATTTTAAAAAGTCAAAGAGTGGAAAAACGAAACGGTGTATTTCTAGTCATGTGTATATCACGTGTAGTCCTAATTCTCTTATTCGGTGGGAGCTCGCGCATTAACCCGTTGTTTCTGTGGAGGTAAACGAGTACCGCCGGATGCTCACCTGTGGCTCTCTGACGCACTCGGCCCTCTCTCTCTCTCACACACACACTCCAACCCTCTGTTCCACAGCGCCGAGAATGGGAAAATCAGAGAGCCAAATGGATATCATGGAGAAAAGCACTAAACCGCGGAAGCATCGCTGGACTGTGGTGGAGATCGGACTGTCCGTCATTGTTCTTCTGATGGGCTGTGCTCTGGCTGGACTCACAGTGCTCTACACTTCCGCTCTGAGAGGTGGGACGCGTCACGATCACAATATCACATTCAAAACACTCAAAAAATAAATATCCCGCGTTTATTCATTTTTAGCCCACGTGGAGCAGCTCGGTGAAACCGTTCTTTTGAAGAACTTTCTAGAAAACCAGAATGATTAATGAATTATATAAAAATTCTATGATTGTTTTTGTATATTTATTTAAATAATATTATATATATATTAAATAAATTATATATTATATAATATATAACATAAATAAATGTATATCAAAACGTATATGTGCAAAAATTAATCGCGATTAATCGCATCCAAAATAAAAGTCTGTGTTTACATTATATATTTGTGTGTGCTGTATATAATTATTTTGTATATATAAATACACACACATGCATTTATATATTTAAGAAAATTTGTTATTCATATATAACATATTTATATTTATATAATATAGATTATGTATTTATATATATATATATATACAGAATTTTAGCGCAAATAATTCTTAAATATATACATGCATGCATAGGTATTTATATATACAAAATATTTATATACAGCACACACAAATATATTATGTACACACAGACTTTTATTTTGGATGCGATTAATCGCAATTAACTTTTGCACAGCCCTAATATATATATATATATATATATATATATATGTAGCACAACGTAAGTAATCGGATCTCATAAATTTTCGCATAAATATAAAATGTGGAATTAGGCAAATGGTTCTCACATCCAATTATATTCTTTGAGATGTTGTATTTTCTTTTTATATTTCAGAGCGTTTTAACATAAATGAATCTTCAAAAGGTAAAGTATGCTGTTAAGTTGATCATAAATATTTTTATCCACACGGTTCATTTAGATTTGCTGTTTTTTGCCCTGCCATAAATTCTGTATAATCACTCCATATACTGTACAATATATTTGCGCACAGGGCTGTTAATCGATTAATCGCGATTAATCGCATCCAAAATAAAAGTTTGTGTTTACATAATATATGTGGGGTAAATATAAAATAATTATACACAGTGCACCCACATATATTATGTAAACACAAACTTTTATTTTGGATGCGATTAATCGCGATTAATCGTTTGACAGCCCTACAGTGTGAGGTTTACAAAATGTATTTCTCAAGGCTAACTTTTGGTAAGTGAGCGAACAACTGAAGCTTTATTTCAATAAATTGCATTATATTACATGCAGTGTTAAGCTGAAGCGATAAGCTCTGACTATAGAGCTGGACTTTTGAGTGGATTACGTCACATGATCTCAGTCAGACATTAACCTCAGTTGTGTTGTTTATCTCACCACATCACATCACAACAGGGCTGAAATATCCATCAAAAGCTGACAGCAATGTCTGTACAACCCCACAGTGTGTCACTGCCGGTAATGTCTGAACGCTTTCCTTTTATATGCCATGGCCAAAGTTATATTCTAGATGTGAAATCATTTCCTGATTCATGTCAACACCACAGCGGCCCGACTGCTCCAGAACATGGACCCCAGCGTGGAGCCGTGCCAGAACTTCTATCAGTACGCATGTGGAGGCTGGATCGAGCGGCACGTCATTCCCGAAACCAGCTCGCTCCACAGCGTGTTCAATATCCTGAGAGACGAGCTGGAGATTGTGCTCAAGGGTGGGTTACGTCAGCTTCACACAAACACCACGAGTGTCCTTTCTTTTAAACAGTTTCGTCTTGTTGGTGCTGGTTCATTATCTCACAGGAGTTCTGGAGATGGAGAGTAAGGATGACAGAGAGGCCTTCAAGAAAGCCAAAACGCTCTACAGCTCATGCATGAACGAGAGTGAGTACACACCACTGGGATCATCGACGTTGTTTCTGTTGTGATTTGCCACCACTTGTAAAAAATAGGATTTACACATTGAATTAAACTAGAACACTAGAAAAACTAAAACTGTATTTTCTTGTAAAACATGCTACAATCGTTTCATTTACAACATCGAAAATGAATTATTTTACACATATAGAGTCCAATTCCACAAATGCAGATGACATGATGGAGTTTCATGGCATTCTCATTTCTATTTGTTTGTGATAAACTTAATTGAACGCATATTTTATACAGTAAATCAATGTGATCTATTATATTGCACATTTTTAGCAATGCTTTATGGGTTGAGTTCAAATGGCTTTGAATTAAACACTGTAATGTTATGATAAATCTCAAAGCTGGTTAGTTACTATAGTTGACTAAAACTATGACTATTAAAGGAGTAGTTCACTTTAAAAAAAAGAAAACTTTTGCTGATAATTTACTCACCCCCATGTCATCCAAGATGTCCACGTCTTTCTTTCTTCAGTCGAAAAGAAATGAAGGTTTTTGATGAAAACATTCCAGGATTTTTCTCCATATAATGGACTTCAATGGGGTCCAAACGGTTCAAGGTCCAAATGAGAGTTTCAGTGCAGCTTCAAAGGGCTTTAAACGACACCAGACGATGAATAAGGGTCTTTTCAAGCGAAACGATCGCTCATTTAAAAAATAAATACAAAAGTTTAAGTTTTATTGCTCTGTTCACTGATGCGCGTTCGTTACTCCTGTTCGAACTCTTTTTTCGAGTCATTTTGTTCATTCAACGAACGAAATGACTCGAAAAAAAAGATTTGAAGAGTTCAGATGCAAAAGCCTCTAAATGCCATTTGAAATTTTCTTCTTTAATGATGATTTTTATCAAACTTGTATATTTAAGTTCAGTAATTTCACTTAAATAACAATTAATAGGTAATTATCATTGCCATTTAAGTGAAATCACTGAACTTAAATATACAAGCTTGATAAAAATGATCATTCTAGAAGAAAATTTCAAATGGCACTTAGAGGCTTTTGCATCTGAACTCTTCATTTGTTCATTTTGATGAACGAGTTCGAACAGGAGAGTCGAGCAAGGCGAGCATTTGTGCTTATAAAACTCAAACTTTTTTATTTATTTTTGAAATGACCGCTCGTTTCGCTCGATAAGACCCTTATTCATCGTCTGGTGTCGTTTTGAAGCTGCACTGAAACTCTCATTTGGACCTTGAACTTTTTGGACCCCATTGAAGTCCATTATATGGAGAAAAATCCTGGAAGGTTTTCATTAAAAACCTTAATTACTTTTTGACTGAAGAACGAAAGACATGGACATCTTGGATGATATTAGGGTGAGTAAATTATCAGCAAAAGTTTTTAAAAGTGAACTGATTTGAACCGACTTGGCCTCGTCTCTCTGCTTCCCCCTGCAGTTCTGATCGAGCAGCGCGACTCGCAGCCTCTTCTTGGCCTCATTGACAGCATTGGCGACTGGCCCGTGGCGTCTGAGGTCTGGAACGGCACATCAGGTACTGGAGATAGCGCAGGCCGTCTCTAATTCACTCGCGCAGAGAATGGCAGCATCTTGAGCTTATCTAAATGGGATAAATGCAACCGCTCCAGCCGCGCTGTCGCTGGGTGTAGATAAGGATAAGGCACTGGACTGATGGGAAAGTCCAGCGGTTTCACAGAGCAGTGGCCGTCCTGCTCATCTGTCATGTGTAGAGGGAGATATAGGAGGGTGAGAGGACGCCGCCGTCATTATTGGCACTCGTTATAGATCTTGAGAGAGGGCAGAATAATTAAATGTAATAGGAGAAGATTGCTGGAATGAAATCTACACATGCAGACATCAACCAAAACACACACTCTGGCCTTTGCTGACAGATTTATTATGCGTCTTTAAAGCAATGGAAAGGTAATTAATGCTGGTTGAGACGTTAAACCAGAATTGGGTTTTGGAAAACCAGCCTGTTATCATGTTTTACTGCATCTAGTATCCATCAACAAAAGGCAATTTGGTACACTGGGATTTATTGGTATATTTTTTTTAATTAGTTTCTTCCGAGAATTTTTTAATAAAAGAGAAATTGACCAGCGATGATGGGCAATGCAGTCTCTTGGCATCATTTGTGGTTATTAAAGTCATTGAAACAGTGTTTGCAGCTTATTTTTACTTCCCGAATGTGATGCATTTCTATGTGAAACAACTGATTGTGTCCATTGGGAATTAACTGGATTGTGAAATGGAGAATGGAGTCACTCACAAATGAGAAAGCTGGCTGAAAAGTACAGTCATTTCAGAGTAAAATAGATTTGTTTTCATTGGAAAACCTGCACTGATGAATCACATGCTAGAAAAGTGTATTTAAATGATTTCACGTTGCAAGATCCATTAAAATAGGTTTACAAATGCAATTTTCTTTCTCGTTTTGATTTATTTCCTAATGACAAAGAAAGGCGAGGTAGGACAGATTGAGAGGATTGTTCTTTTTAGTGAAATATGAGACAAGGTCTTAGTATTTATTTTCCTTGGCAAAGAATTAAACTGACAATTCATTTCACTGCATTATCAAAAGACTAATGGTGCTATAACATGAATATAAAACAACGCAGCACGGAAAAGAACGGGTTTTCCTAACTAAACTATTAAAAAGCAACTGCAGTTGGATTCACTTGCCATACTTACAGATTCATTCAGGCTGATTCAAACTGGTAACAAATCTGTTCATAAGAATCGACTCATTCATTCACGAAGCGAACTAAACAGATCGCGCTGATTCAAACTGGCAACAAATCTGTTCATAAGAATCGACTCACTTGTTCACGAATCGAACTACACAGATCGCGCTGGATGTTTACCAGTATTTTTCGAAAGTCATACTTATGTAGTAGTTGTAAAGCATATAGATTGCCTCAAAGTAAACAGACATGGACTAAAAGCCACAAAATTTTGATGTTACAGAGCAAGCGTGGAGCCTGGAGGACACACTGGCGATTCTGAACGCTCGGTACAATAAGAAGGCCGTGCTTGAGATGTTTGTGTGGCCAGATGATCGCGACTCCAGCCGCTACATTATCCATGTAAGTTGAACATCCTGAATAATTTACATTTATATATATCTAGCAAAAAACTCATAGTACTACTTCTACCACCATGTTTTTGGACATATGATCGTATTTCCATGTTTTCAAAGCTCGTCAGAAAGACAAAGTGTGAATAAGTTACTAAACTGAGCTCTCTTTCATGCCTTCTTGCACTTGGGTGGATAAATTCACACAAAATAATGTAAAAATAGCGAGTATGCTAATAAACATAGTCTTAATTAAACGTAAAATTAAACGAGTAGATCTGTGGATTCACTCTTAAAGTGACAGCAGCCTAATATTTTTGCTTCTGTCTGTGTTTCAAATGTTAATCAAACAAAGGATGAAGAAAAAAAATCACTCACTGCTCTAGACTGAATAACTTGTGTAACTTTATTAGGGATGTTTAATTTATTATAATGAAGTCTGTGCAGTGTTATTTTATATTTGCTTACTTAATTACATTTCTGTCGCTGAAAACCACTGAAAAACCAGAAAAGCACTGTTTTTTTAAATTATCACTGCTTGTATCTTAATTATATTGTATTAATTTGTCGTTAGGCCCTGTGTATATGATAACACCATTTGGTTACTGTATGTACAATTGAAACACCATGTTTATCACATACTACTACCATAGTCTTTTGGACGTGTATGATGATGCTACTATGGTTTTCTGTACCTATATGCAATACCATGATTTTGGATGTACATTTAAAGAGTATGGTAGTCATTCAGCATCATGGTGTATAATATCAAAGTAGCATGGTATTGCGTTACGATGCCCGTAATCACATCAGTACTTGTCGGTTTGATAGATTGGTTGTTTCAGTGGCGCATCACCTTTCAAAACACACAGTGGCTAATTGCAATTTATTTCACATAATACACCCTGATTAAAATGCCATTTGGAGCATGAGTAAATGAAACCGAGTGTGATTTTATGTTGGTTTAATTACGAGCAGAGCAGTATTAGATGATCTCATGCACGCCGCACCCAAAGGCGATGCAGATAACGAATAGAAGATTGTTTGTGATTGATGATTTCATCATTTAACTGCGTCTTTCCGATTGCACAGGTTGACCAGCCAGCACTAGGAATGCCTTCAAGAGATTATTACCTCAGCGATGGGAATTATAAGAAGGTACGTTGTGTCATTTTCTCCCTCAATGCTTTGGTTATAATCACACGAATCAGCAGATCCTCCGTCGTGTTTGTGGACAGGTGCGCCAGTCCTACCTGGAGTTCATGGTTTCCATGGCGAGGATCGCACGAGAAGACAGGAACTTGACCCAAGATGAAGAGCGCGTGTGGGAGGACATGACTCAAGTGTTGGAGCTGGAGACAGACATTGCAAACGTGAGTTTAACGGGAGATGGTAAAACACAACAAACCTGAAATGGAGTGTCTGAAATGCGTTCTGGTGCTGTAAATGTCATCTGATTTCTGGCTACAGGCTACCTCACCCGCAGAAGAACGCAATGACATCACCGTGCTTTACAACAAAATGACACTGAGAGAAGTTCAGCAAGCTTTTAACCTCAATGTAAGTGCAAAGGAAATGGAAAGGGATTTTACTGCACCAGTAAAAGCTGTTCTAATACACACTACTGTTCAAAAGTTTGAGGTTTTCTCTTCTGCTCACAGAGGCTGCATTTATTTGATCAAAAATACAGTAATATTGTGAAATAATTAGGGCTGTGCAAAAGTTAATTGCGATTAATCGCATCCAAAATAAAAGTCTGTGTGTACTAGTGTTAATTTTACCAGCCATTTTTAAATTTAGTTTCAGTTTTAGTCCAGTTTCAGCATCGCTTGTTAGTTTTTATCACATTTAGTCGACATCATCCCATTTTTATTTAGTCTAGTTTTAGTCGACTATAAGTCGAGCATTTTAGTCTTTATTTTAGTCCAAGAAAACATAATTTTATTCGTTTAGTTTTAGTAAAAAAAAAACTGTCAACATTTTAGTCTAGTTTTAGTCAGGACATCATTTTAACCTTTTACTTTTTTGTCAGCAGATAATATTTAACATTTCCTAAAATTATTTCACAATTCAACATTTTCTCTCATCTTTTTGATAAAAAACACAATTTTAAGGAACACATGCAGACATGGAAGATGTTCTGACAATATTTGCATATTTATTTTGAACATTGTTAAGGTTCAAAGACACAAACACAAATGCTTGCATTAAAACAAATAAAATACACCGGACAAAGGAAACAAATAAATAAAATAAAAGTGTATTATGAACTTAACACAAGTGCTGGCTGTTTAAAGCTAGTTCACATAGAATAAAAAAATAAATAGATTTGAGGTCAATGTTGTGAAGAAAAAAAAAAAACTCCAACTAAAACAACAAAAGTGCTTTCCTGCCAGCTAGTTCACATGGTATATAAAGGTACAGTATTTAAGGTGAAACAAGGCATAGCTTGCTAGAACGTATGAAATCTTTTTAACTAATCTTTTTAAAGCGCCTGTCTTTAATCAAATTTAACTGAAACTATAGTTGCCCGGCCAGTATAACATATCTAAGTTAGCATAAATTTAACTTCACATACAATTCTATCAACAAGTGGCTACGGTCGCTACGTGCTAAGAAGCTAACGTAACATAGCCAGCCTGGATACTAAATGCTAAGTTAGCCATCATTAGTTAGTTTATCATTGTAACAAAATGTGTCCATATATCACGTCTCTTCTTTCTCCCGAGCCCCGTGCAAAGCATGTTTTACTTTTAACCTGTCGCCGCCGCCTCACCGTGAATCCAGCTCCTGTCTACTCATGTGTTGTGTGTAGGCTACTCTGACTGTGCCCGCCCGCTCCAGGTTTGAAAGTGGGTGTGTGGCGGAAGAGCTGACGAGGAGGAGGCGGCGGAGGAGGAGACAGGATTTGACAAAACAAAACCATATCATATAATAATATGTAATTTTCGTCTCGTCTTTGTTCGTGAACTAAAATGTCCATAGATTTTAGCCCAGTCTTTATTTACCGAACTGCATTTTCGTATCGTCTTTATTAGTCTACGAAAATTATTTCTGATTTACTCCCAGTTATTGTTTATTAGTGGGGATTTTAGTCTCGTCTCGTCTAGTTTTCGTTCGGTGAAAAATGTGCGTTGACGAAAATATTTTCGTTTAGTTTTCGTTAACGAAATTAACACTAGTGTGTACATAATATATTTGTGTGTGCTGTATATAATTATTTTGTATATATAAATACCTATGCATGCATGTATATATTTAAGAATTATTTGCGCTTAAATTCTGTATATATATATAAATACATAATCTATATTATATAAATATAAATATTTTATATAGGAATAACTCATTTTCTTAAACATATACATGCATGTGTGTGTATTTATATATACAAAATAATTATATACAGCACACACAAATATACTATGTAAACACAGACTTTTATTTTGGATGCGATTAATCGCAATTAACTTTTGCACAGCCCTAGAAATAATACTACAATTTTTAAATATTTCTATGAGAATTTTCAGCATCATTACTCCAGTCTTCAGTGTCACATGGTCCTTCAGAAATCAAATGCTCAAATCATTTGGTGCATTTTACCATAGATATCTATATAAAGGCTAGATATCTCGTCCATGCTGCTGGCCAATGGAGGTCGACGTCAGCACCTGGCGGCCATCTTGCTACAGGCAGCTCGCTCACTCGTTACATTGTGTTAATGGTACATATTCTATTAAAATCACCATAACTTGCTCAATTTTCTACCGGTTTGGTTTGTTATAATAGTCAGAGATGTAGTTATGACACAGCATGCTTATGAATAATAAGTGTATAAATAAATAATCATCCAGATAATTATAGCCTCTTTAATAACGTTTGTAAGAAACCAAACCGTTTGTAAATCCGTCAAGATTTCGGTAAATCCGTCAAGATGTTCGTGCTGACCACTCATCTTACATCAGCTTGCCTGTGACAAGATGGCCGCCGGTGATGACGATAGAAACTCCGCCTTAAGACATCTAGCCTTTATATATATATATCTATGCATTTAACATTGTAAATGTCTTTACTGATTCATTTGATGCTGAATAAAAACAACAATGTCTTTAAAAAAAAAAATCGTACTGACCCCAAACTTTCCCACAATCTAAACCTGAAGAGTGAAGAGAAATGATGGTTGTTAATGCACCCCAAAATAAAAATTCCTTCATTAATTACCCGTCCTCATGTCGTTCCAAACCCGCAAGACTTCACTTCATCTTCAAGAACACAAATGAAGATATTTTTAATGAAATCTGAACAATTACCACTTTGACGGTTCAAAAGGTTCATAAAGAGATCGTAAAACAAATCCATATGAATTGAGTGGTTTAGTACTAATTTTCTGAAGAGACTCGGATCAGGTAATTTAGGCTTTTATTCAGATGTAAACATTGATAATTGATATCTGCCCGTCGGCTTTGTGGTGCTCACACGAACGGGTTTCGGAACGACTAACTAATTATCCCTTTAGAAGCCAGAATATAAATCTAATAATGTCAAATTTGCTCAATTTTATATATTACAGTTCTTAATTGTTTTTGCACTTTCCCATGAACACATCCTACTTCTCCGAATGGCCGTTGTTTTCTCATTAGAGCACATATGCTTCTCGTTTCTCTTTGTGAAATGTCAGGGTTTTAATTGGACGCGCTACATCCAGGGAATCATGTCCAGCGTGTCCGTTACGGTGCAACCAGAAGAGCCCATGGTCGTGTACTGCTCGCCTTACCTGGAGAAGCTCCGCTACGTTCTGTCCAAGCACAGCCACAGGTGATGCTCTTAGCTGACGCTGTTTGACACGTGAAGAATGTGAGATTCTTCAATTATGGCCATCTGGAAGATATACATATTGTCAGAGGTTCAGTGGTTTCAGAGATGAGGTAACTTAAATGGTGAATGTCCCACCGAAGGATCACCTGTGCTGATCCTAAGGAGAAAGAAGAACGAGACGATGATTGACACGGAATGAGAGTAAATGAATGCAGATAGCATAGAATTTGAGTTCATATTGAGATTAAGACATCGTTAAGATCTCTTCTAATTCTCCTCTTTTCAGGGTATCCGTGGGGTTTTAAAAAGTATTAAAAAGTGATAACTCAAAATTGTCAAATTTAAGGCCATTAAAAGTGTTAAATGTAGTCTGAGAGGTATTATTTTTTAAAAATTAGGTATTATTTTTTTTAGACTATCAGGTGTCCTATTTTGTGTTTGCGTTAGTCCGTATAAATATGGGCTTTAGGTAGTAAAAAGGTAGTAAAAAAGGTATTAAAAAGTAGTAAATTTAACTTAAGGATTACTGTATATACCCTGCTTTTCTAATTTGCGATCTATTTATCCGTATTAATATTGAGGAACAAATTAATTATGGAGATCTTCTCTACACTATTAAGATGCTTTACCCAAAGTTAAGTTTTTATAGTATTTATTCAAATTTTAAATTAGTTTTCGTTTTTAAATTTCGTTCTAGTAATTTTGTTGTTTTTATTCATTTTTTTTAAAAAATATATATATTTCTATTTAGTTTTTATTTCAGGTTTAGCTTTAGTCATTTTAATTCTTAAACTTAAAAGTTTTCGGTTAGCAATAACAACACTGCGTCAGTAATCCACAACAAGAACATTAGCTGAATTTAAGAAATGCTCGTTGCATATTTCTGTGCTGCACGGCATTGAATGATCTGCACATTTGTGATCTCGGCAGGACGCTGCAGAACTATCTGGCATGGATGCTCATCATGGAGAGGGTCAACAGTATGAGCCGTCGCTTCAAAGACGTGAGAGCGCACTACAGAAAGGTCAGTCGCACTCGGAACAAACACAAACAGAGGAGAGCTCTCGTGGCATTTCATTTCGCCTGCTGTTTCAATCCAATAGGTTCTGTTTATTTTTATTAAACAGCTCTCTGGAATACTTGATTCTGATTGGACAGTTTCAACATTCCAATTTGTGTTATTCCCTGATATCACATGGCTCTCTGGAATACTTGATTGTGATTGGTCAGTTACAAAATTCCAATTTGTGTTATCCCTGATATTACATGGCTCTCTGGAATACTTGATTTTAATTGGTCAGTTTCAACATTCCAAGTTGTGTTATTCCCTGATATCACACGGCTCTTTGGAATACTTGATTCTGATTGGTCAGTTTCAACATTCCAAGTTGTGTTATTCCCTGATATTACACGGCTCTCTGGAATACTTGATTCTGATTGGTCAGTTTCAACATTCCAAGTTGTGTTATTCCCTGATATCACACGGCTCTCTGGAATACTTGATTCTGATTGGACAGTTTCAACATTCCAAGTTGTGTTATTCCCTGATATCACACGGCTCTCTGGAATACTTGATTCTGATTGGTCAATCACGATAATCCCCAATAACAACTGGTAAAACAGGCTCATCTGAGTGACTGACATTAGTGCTATACGCTTGCTAAGAACGTTTATTCTTTGTATAAGTTTTGAGCCAATAAAATAGTAAAATGAATTATTACTCAATATTTTGTTTACAGTTATTTAATTATGTCATCCAGGATCGTGGACTCGCTCTTTTTTGTTTCATACAAACGAAGCTGCTGCCATTTTGCGACGATTGTTTTGTACACTGTTGAGTTATAAGATAACAAACAAGTACGATTTTAAAACAGTTCAATCTGAAATCAAAATCTCGATAATTATTTCTGTGGCGAAACGCTGTGTAGTAAGTGGTATGACTGTACTATATCCCTTAAATGTCCGTCTCGTTTGAACTTGCCGCGCTACAGCTGCTCTCTCCGCAGAAGTTTTGTGTTTAAAGATGGAAAAATTCGACAATATTTCATGTCTTTATTTACTTATGTGCCAAGTAGCCGTGTAATAAGCAGGGTAATGTACATCCAGCCGGTTGTTATCTCAGAATAAACCCCTTCAGGCTGATGCAGTGTTGGTCAACTGGCTGGATGTACATTATCCCTTATTTTGGGCCCATTTCTTCATTGCATTGTGTGTGCGTGTTCACTCAGGCTTTGCATGGCACTACAGTAGAGGAGGCGAGGTGGAGAGACTGTGTCCGTTACGTCCAGGGCAACATGGAGAACGCAGTCGGAGCCCTTTACGTCCGGGAAACCTTCTCTGGAAACAGCAAACGCATGGTAAGACTAAAAACACCAACTCTGCCCTAAAAACACACACCTAGACATAACAGGAACATCCTCCTTCAATGATTTACACAATCAGAACAATCACACAAATGGATTGTTTAGACTGTTCCAATGACGGGTTCAGTGATTTCTCCGTTTATTTTTAATCTGGGATGATTTTATGTAACTCTGCATTGAATATAAAGATGTTTGTGGCTTTATATAGTATTTCTAGGACAGTCGAATAGTTTTATTCATTTTAAAGTCAGCATGAAGTCAAAATTAATCTTACATCTAAAATTAAGGAAAATGACATAGGCCTTCTAAAAAAACTTTAAAAAAAAAAATAAATATTATTCCCTTAAACAATTAGTGTGATTAATCAGTTAAAATTGTAAACTGATTATTTATTTATTATATAATATTTAACTAAATTACATTTTTAATAATAAAAATAATATTTGTATTTAATTAATTATATAAATAATTAAATTAATTATATTATAATTAATTATATAAATAATGTTATAAATAATTTGAATTAGATTAATTGAATGATAAGCCAACTATAATAGCTATTTTTGCTATTGTTGTTCAGGTGGGTGAACTGATCAAAAAGATCCAGGAAGCTTATGTGGAAACACTGGAAGAGTTGAGCTGGATGGATGAAAAATCCAAGGAGAAGGCCAGAGAGAAGGTAAGATGGTTTTAATGGTCACAATAAAATAAAATGTTCCTTAATCCCAGGGATTCCCAAACTTGTTTTCAGCTTTACCCCTTTAAAATAAAACATTTACACATTTTCATGTTTATGGTTCTCTAATGACGGTTTATGGTCACATGACATAGAGCTAAACAAATGAAATAAAATAAACATTTATTTATTTATTTAAATTTTATCTTTTTATAATTTAATCATTAACTTTATCAACTCACAACAAAAAACCTTTGCCGTTCCCTCACAAATCCCAGTTTGGAAAACCCCACTTTATCCTATACACAATTAGCTTTGTTAATAAATTAAACATTTTAATCAAATTAATACATTTATAAGCACAATTGTATATCAACATTACTTGGTTTTTAATTCCCATTTTTGTTAAGCATTTTATGTATATAGATTTTATCTTTTATTATTATCACTATTAAGTGGGTTTGATCTGTAATCTTACTTTATATTAATTATGGTATTTTTATTTGATTTTGGTGTTTACTATAATGCTTTTTTTATTGTAAATATTATTATTATTATTTTATATTATATTATATTAAATATAAGTTATTTTATTATTAATATTTATTATTAATATTATTATATTTGCTGAGCTATTCTCGCTTTCCAACCTCCTGTTTTGCAGGCCATGGCGATATCGGAGCAGATCGGTTATCCCGACCACATCCTTGAGGAGGAAAATAAGAAACTAGACGAGGAATACAGACATGTATGCAAACTCGGAGAACCTTGAGCTCAAAATCAAAGCAACTTCTCATCTCATCTCTACGATATGTGTTGTTATGTCTCTGTTCGCAGCTTAATTTCAGTGAGGAGAACTACTTTGAAAACATTCTGGAAAACCTGGCAGCATCAGCCCAGAAAGGTCATAAAAAGCTGAGGGAGCCCGTGGATCCTGACATGTACGAAACACATAAATATATGCTTGAAAAGACCTTTTCCTCTCTTGACCCGTCACCGAGTCATTGCTTTTTCTCTCTGTCTCTACGAACGTTTTAGGTGGATTATTGGTGCAGCTGTGGTCAATGCGTTCTACTCACACAACAGAAACCAGATTGGTAAGATCATATAGTTGGAAATATATCCATTAGATTATCGTCATCATGGTACGAGCATTAGTTCAGTCAAGCTGATAAAAGTGGCCTAATATTGTAATGTTTACATGAGTTTCCAGCATGCTGTGTGACGCTTTCTCCTGTGTGTTGAAAGTCTCAGTGTGGCCGTGTACAATGAGTGTGTTCGAGCACGAGCGCTCTTGGTTGCAATCTGAAACATCGTCGATAGAGGCCGCTAAAAAATACATATAGCACCTTTAAAAATGCTAAAAATTCAGATGCTCAAATATAGCATTAATTCTATCGCAAAAGGATTCATTAAAGGTGCCATGTGTAAGAATTGAGGTTAAATGTCCAAAAAAAAAATGAGCTACACGCATCAAAAGAATGAGAAGAAATAAGGTTGATGATGTCATTAAAAAATGACAAGTTATAGTGCTGCAGAGATGTCAACCTGAATTAGCGTGCTAAATTACTAGCCCCGGCCCGGCAGGTGTATCGTAATACCAGTTTCGGCCATGGGAGGTGGTATGTGGGCGGGCAACACTGCAATAAAGAGCCTTAGTCCCGCCCCTCCACTTCCGGCTCATGGGACCTTATTTCGGAAAAAATATGAATGGTAGTCAATGGCGGGAGACAACTTATCTTTTTATTCCGTCTGAACTGTGCCCTCAATTACACATATGATGTTTGTCAATTTAAAAGATAATTCTGAAAGTCAAAAACGTCGCAGTTTGTCATAAAACAGAAGAGTAACATTTAGTTTTATCTATGAACTACATCTCCCAGGAAGCGAAACAACGAGTGAGATCCGCTGCTCATGTGGTACAAAACACTCAGGCGTGACGGCGTAACGTTACGATTATAACGTAAGACTATAGAAACAATGACAGACGTTAGCCTCAGTAAAGTTAGCTTCATTCATTGAGAGAAAATGTGCGACTTTGGGGTTTGTAGTCTTTGTAATTACGTATTTTCACAGTCGGTTTTCCATCAAACTGCGACTTTTGTTACTTTAAAATGTATCTTTTAAATTGACAAACATCATTCGTGTAATTCAGGGCACGATTCAAACCAGAACAAAATATTTGTTGTCTCTCGCCATTGACTATTCAATATTTTTCCGAAATAAGGTCAAATGGTGGTCAACCGGAAGGGGAGGGACTTAGGCTCTCTATACACGAGTAACGAAGCTCAAATGCTCGCCTTGCTCTGTTCTGTGATGCACGTTCGTGACTCTCCTGTTCGAACTCGTTTATCTAAATGAACGAATCTTTTTTCATGTCATTTGGTTCATTCAACGAACGAGTTGACACGGGAAAAGATTCGTTCGTTTTAATGATCGAGTCATGAATGCGCATCACAGAACAGAGCAAGGCGACCATTTGAGCTTATAAAACTTAAACTTGGTTATATTTTTTTTAAACGAGCGATCGTTTCGCTTGATAAGACCCTTATTCGTCGTCTGGAATCGTTTAAAGCCCTTTGAACACTTTGTAGTTTGCACTGAAACTGTCTTTTGGACCTTGAACCGTTTGGACCCCATTGAAGTCCATTATATGGAGAAAAATCCTGGAACGTGACTAGCTAGTTGATTTCTTCATCGTATATGGCAGCGAGTTACATCATTGTTCGGGAAACGCACCCCTGCAAACTAAAAAAAAGCAGACGTGTTTTGTCTTTGGTGAAGTATTTGTTCTGGTCAGATTTCTCCTAAGCTTTTTGAGGGCTCTCGATACAAACGCTTTCTCAGCGCATTGTCATAATGGCTCTAATGCCTGTAGTGCTTTTCTCTTGTAGATTAAACAAAGCTAGTTTCAGGCTCCAGTGCACACAGAGCTTGTGCTTCCAGAGATGGGCTGCGGACGCCAAGCGCTGGTTAATACACAGATTACAAAAAGCCAAGTGATTATGCAGATTTTCAGCGGGAGAAATTTCCACATAATTACTCTTAGATTGCACATTTTAATGTTCCTGGACAATCTGGGAAACACTTGAAGCTGAATTGCCATTTTGTGGAGACGAGAGCGGCAGCTGTAACTGCATTTTGAGCCGGCACACAGTAGAGATCTTTCTGCGATCCGGCGTTCACCATTACCATTACATGAGCATGAGTCTCTTTAAAAGCACTTTCCACACTCTAACACTAACACGACGTCAATCAACTTTTGACATTTCTTCAGAAACGACAAATGTCATCCACCAAATCTCAAATCCCCATGCATGCTGTGATGGAAATGACATTTTAAACATTTGTGGAATAATGGACTCCTTCCAACATTACATGACTCATAATTCACTGATGGTTTTCTCATGGGTAAATAAATATGAATGCTAACGTTTTGGAAAATTGTTGATCGATGTCACAAAAAAGCACTGTGGCATCATATAAATAATTTATGTGCAAAAATATAAAATGATCAAACTTTAATTTGAATATTAGGGCTGTCAAACGATTAATCGCATCCAAAATAAAAGTTTGTGTTTACATAATATATGTGGGTGCACTGTGTATAATTATTTTATATATATAAATACACACACATGCTTGTATATATTATGTATATAGATTTATATATAATTTATATGATATGCAAATATAAATATTTTAGATATAAATATTTTTTTTCTTAAATATACATGCATGTGTGTGTATTTAAATATACAAAATAATTACACACAGTGCACCCACATCTATTTTGTAAACACAAACTTTTATTTTGGATGCGATTAATCGTTTGACAGCCCTATTAAATGATCAAACTTTAATTTAATTATATTATATTAAATTATCATACTTTAAAACACTATATTCCATGCATTCCCTGAAAGTAAGTCTTATTTTAAAACAGTAAAATATTTTTACCGACTTCAAACTATTCTCAAATATCATATTTTAAATATAACAAATAACATATCATGCTAAATGATCATACTTTAGAACATGAAATGTGTGTATATATATTTTAAATATTAAATATAATATTTTGAAAGTCAGAGTCTGGGGCGATAGTGTTGATGGGATACATGTTTTATTAAATCCATATCTTTTTGTTTGTTTAAAATGAATAATTTCTATTAACATTTATTTTTAAAAATTATACATAATTGTTTAATTAAATTTATATATATTTGATTGGAGAAAATAAATAATTTCTAAAATAAGAAATTGAAAAATTTACTTTGTACCAAGTTTTTAAAAAAAGTGTTTTTATAGACATAGAAAATATTGGTTAGGATAAGTTATTTATTTTTCATTGGTTCAAGTTATAAAATATAGATGTTTTAATTGGATGAATAAAAATTAGGGCTGTGCAAAAATTAATTGCGATTAATCGCATCCAAAATAAAAGTCTGTGTTTACATAATATATTTTTGTGTGCTCTATATAATTATTTTGTATATATATATATACACACACATGCATGTATATATTTAAGAAAATGTGTTATTCATATATAAAACATTTATATTTATATAATATAGATTATGTATTTATTTATATATACAGAATTTAAGTGCAAATAATTCTTAAATATATACATGTATGCATAGGTATTTATATATACAGCACACACAAATATATTATGTAAACACAGACTTTTATTTTGGATGCGATTAATCGCAATTAATTTTTGCACAGCCCTAATGAAAATATTTTTTTTCAGTGTATTTTGTTCATTTGACCTTCAAAAAAAATTGTTTGAAACCTCTGGGATGTAAATGTTTACAAAGTTAACACTCTTAATACTATTAAAATGAGCTGGTGTTTTTTTTTTTTCAATTAGTTTCTCAAAAACACATTTCCTGGTCAATTATCCGTGCATTATGCTGAATTCTATCTCTTTCTATGCATTCATCTTTCTTTCCTTCAGTGTTTCCTGCTGGCATCCTCCAGCCTCCCTTCTTCAGTGAAAAACAGCTGCAAGCTCTAAACTTCGGTGGGATCGGGATGGTTATAGGACATGAAATCACTCATGGATTTGACGATCACGGTAAAATGGGTCTCATCTGATGGATTGTACTAATTATCAGTTAGCTGTGGATGAATAAACTGTGGATTTGATGATTATCCAACTCTGCGCTGAATAAATATCACAGATAAATTCTCCATTTAAAATAAGCACAAAATGAAATATCTATTTTCATAGGCCGGAATTTCGACAAGGATGGGAACATGAACAACTGGTGGAGCAACTACTCTGCCGAGCAGTTCGAGGATCAGTCTAAATGCATGGTGGATCAGTACGGCAAGTTCAGCTGGAAACTCGCAGGAGGCCAAAATGTGAGTTGAACCTCGGTTCGGTACAATGGAAATAATGTGAGCTTCAGAAAACAAGCAATTAAAACGGATATTAAGTTTATACTTGGAGCACTTGCAGAATGTGCTTGCTTTGGGTCCCATCTAAGCATTTCCACTGCCCTGAAATTAAATGCAGAGCAAATTAAAACTTTTGTTGACATAAAAAATGTCAACATACTTAAAATAGAAAAAAAAAAAAAATCGGCCGGTTGGGCAAGCGAAAATAACTTTTTATTTTTTCTATGTACATTTTCTGAAGTGAAACTGCTTTGAAACAATATGCATTGTGAAAAGCGCTATACAAATAAATTTGAATTGAATTGAAATAAATATCTAGCCACTAAAAATGAATGGATTTCTAGGCAGAAATACTATATTTTAATATTAATATTTAATATTTTACTTGTTTTGGTTTAAGAGGGGATTTTATTTATTTTCTATTTATATTATTATTATTATTTTTTCAGTAAATAAGATACTGTGTTCAGTCCATTCTCGGAAAACTAAACGTTGTTATTGACTTTCAGAAAATAGAGCTGCACAATTCTAGATAAATAGAGATATTTTTGGGGTTCAAAATTCATGATTCTCCCACGATTCTGAAAAGACAACTGAACAAAATAGTATAATTTAACAGGGATTCTGGCAAAATGTTAATTTCTGCCGTGTATTTAAAAATATGTCCTTTTTATTTCATTTTAATTTATGTAATTTAATTTAAAACTTAAAACAGTTTTTTTATGACTCACTCATAAAAACTTCACTTGTTTCATTACAGGATGAATCAAAAATTTTTAACGAATCTCTGTAATGAATGATTCAATGACAAATACATTTTTAACAGTCACTTGTCGCCTCCTACTGGTGTAGCGATGTAAATGATTCAATCATTATTAGAAGCTTCAAGCTACTCCCAAACGGTGATTATTGTGATTTTGATCGCTAGTGTTTATATCTGGACTGTAAACTTCTTTCCCAATACTTCTGTGATATATGAATGATTGTAAGAACGATATAATTATATTGTGTGTTTGAAAAGGTCATATTTCTTTGTCAAAATGTTTAATAGACATAGCCGAAGATCGCGTGGGTGTTTGAATCTTTTAACAATTAATCGTGCAACTGTCCTCAGATTTGTCACGACATCAAAGTCTGTAATTAAAAGATTTTAATATAAACTCAAACTAAACTTTGGATGAGATTTATATGTTGCACAGTGTTGTTATTGTAAGCTCAAATTTAAAATTAAACTATTAAAATCCTTTTTTATTAATCGAAATGAAGCTGAAATATAAGAAAATATAAAAAGTAATATAAATGATAAAAACACAACATTTAAATGAACAATCAAAATATGAATAATTACTATAATAGCACATGTAATCAACAATGTTACGTTGGTGTTGTTGCAGGTCAGTGGCATCACAACATTAGGAGAGAATATTGCTGATAACGGTGGAGTTCGCCAAGCTTATAAGGTTTGTATGATTAATTCCCTTATTAACCTGATAAAACACCTTACAAACACAGCGTTGTGCTTCTAATTGTAAGTGGCTGTGGATAAAAGCGTCTGCCAAATGAATAAACACCCCATAGCATCACGGCAAGCACTTTTCATGTAAAAATCTACACATGAGTTGTGTGTGTGTGTGATATTAGGCGTATATAAAGTGGGTGGAGAGGGAGGGCGAGGAGCCCCATCTTCCCGGACTGGATATGGATCATAAACAGCTCTTCTTTCTGAACTTTGCCCAGGTGTGTGTGACCATGAATTACATACACTTTAAAACTCATGCATGTGTTCACCTTGATGCCCGTGCGAGGTCAATTTCACATTTCATACACATACAGGTGCTGGAAAACAAATGACTGTAAACTTAAAGGAATAGTTCACCTAAAAATGAAAACTATCCCATCATTTACTCTACTTTTTGGGTGAACTATTCCTTTAAGGCATGAAATCTGAGGCTGAATCTGTTTTGGAGAATCCTACAAATGTCATTCAAGCATAAAGTGTATGTTAGGTCAAAAATAATGTTTAAAATCCCAGTTGTTCATCTGTCCAGCTGACTTTAACATGACTGGGTGAATTGCATGTCATGTGTGTTTTAGGTCTGGTGTGGCGCGTGCCGCCCTGAGTACGCCATTCAGTCCATCAAGACAGACCCACACAGCCCTCTGGAATACAGGCAAGATCTTTATACAATAAATGTGTCCAAGTCACACTTAAGGTTACAGATAGCACATGCTATTAAAGGGATACTTCAGGATTTAGCATTAAGCTTTGTGTTAGTAGGAAACCTGTAGTGTTTTCGAATGACCTTCAGGGTCATATCCCCCTGAGACGAGAGATTTATGGGGTTTTTTTGTCAGATGACGATGCAAAAATCGTAATTTTGCCGGATGTAAGATGTTTTTGAAAGAAGTTTCTCATCAAGTAATATTGAGAAATAGTATTACAATTTAAAATAACTGTTTTCTATTTGAACATGTATGTAAAATATCATTTATTCCTGTGATCAATTTTCAGCATCATTTCTCCAGTCTTCAGTGTCACATGATCCTTCAGAAATCACTCTTAATCATAAATTAATATGAGGATTTGCTATTATCAATATTGAAAACAGTTTATTTTTGTGGAAACAATGATACATTTTTTTTCAGGATTCTTTGATCATTCAAAAATTTATAACAACATTTCTTTGAAATAGAAATCTTTTGCAACACTATAAATGTCCAATTCTTCTTATAAATTGAATTGAAGTTTTATAAAAACCTTACTGAGCCCAAACTTTTGAACAGTAGTGTATGAAGCCACTTTATATTTCCTTACCCCAGTTTGCTATATTTTGAATAGATATGTAAATAATATAACGTGCGATGTGGTAAAATCTGAGTGAAGTGACTTCATACTGTAAAAATCCACAAAACACAGCGGATTCAAAGACACTTAACATAAATGAAGAAAAGTCACAGTCCTCTGATACGAAATCACTCAAAGCTGTTTTGAAAACAATATGTATTGTGAAAAGTGTTATATAACAAAATGTGAATTAAAGAAAAGAGCCAAAATATCCTGCAGCGATTTTGTTGTTTAATGCAACGCCATTCAGACATTTATTAAAGGAGTAGTTCACTTTAAAAAAACTTTTGCTGATAATTTACTCACCCCCGTGTCATCCAAGATGTCCATGTCTTTCTTTCTTCAGTCGAAAAGAAATTAAGGTTTTTGATGAAAACATTCCAGGATTTTTCTCCATATAATGGACTTCAATGGGGTCCAAACGGTTCAAGGTCCAAATGAGGGTTTCAGTGCGAAATGCGAACTGTTCACATGGTTTAAAACGATTCCAGACGATGAATAAGGGTCTAATCAAGCGAAACGATCGCTCATTTAAAAAATAAATAAAAAAGTTTAAGTGTTATGAGCTCAAATGCTCGCCTTGCTCTGTTCTGTGATGCGCATCCAACGAACAAAAATGACTCGAAAAAAAGATTCTTTCATTTTGATGAACGAGTCCGAACAGGAGAGTCACACAGAACAGAGCAAGGCGAGCATTTGAGCTTATAAAACTTAAACTTTGTTATTTTTTTATTAAATGGCCGCTTTTTTCACTTGATAAGACCCTTATTCATCGTCTGGAATCGTTTAAAGCCCTTTGAAGCTGCACTGAAACTCTCATTTGGACCTTGAACCGTTTGGACCCCATTGAAGTCCATTATATGGAGAAAAATCCTGGAATGTTTTCATCAAAAACCTTCATTTCTTTTCGACTGAAGAAAGAAAGCCGATCTTGGATGACATGGGGGTGAGTAAATTATCCGCAGAAGTTTTGTTAAAAGTGGTTAAAACGCTTTTTCTAGGGTGTAAGGATGTTGTTTTGTTTTTTTAACAGGGTTCTCGGTTCCCTGCAGAACTTCGAGGCTTTTTCCGAAGCGTTTCATTGTGAACGAGGAACTCCCATGAACCCCGAGGAGAAGTGTCGAGTGTGGTAACCCGCCGTCGGAGGTCCTGGAGTCGTGTATATTTTAGGAGGAAGGCAGCGTGCTGTCATTGCCTGTCTGTTAGTCTGCCGCGACAGACACGGTGACGCGGTGTAGACACCTACATGTGTGACTGCGTAGATGTCTACTGTGAACTTTCAAAAGCGCACATATAACCAACAAGCGCAGGCGTCGTGAACGTGCGCAGTGAGGGTGTTGTTTTTCTGGAAAAGAGGCATGCTTTTTCACCGTCTGTTCAGAGATTTCGTCCTGTCCGCTTGTTTCTTTCGACTCCTTATTAGTTTTGGCACCGGAAAACACATTGTAACGAGAGGGAGGGTTTATTGACATCAGATTATGTAAACGGATAAACCCCTCCGTTGGCTTTGGATTCTGTCGGCTCTCCAAGAAGATATCCGTTGTGTCCTAAAATCAGCCAACAACTGGAGGCTTGGAAGCCGAACGCGATTGTGGTTTGAATAGAAACCAGTCAAGGCATCATATTTCGTTTCATAAGAAACAGCCTTGAAGTATTTTGATTATGGTATAAGACATTATTTTGGTAAGAGTCCTATTGAGCGCTGTTTTTCCCCCCCAAAAAATCCTAATGAAATGTACGTTTCACAGAAGGATCTGTATTTCTTTGCTTAGCGTTACGTAAAACGGGCATGTGTTGACAATTACCTGACAACCTTAAGACTGTTAAAACCACAATGTGTTTCTCTCTTCATAAATAGATCCTATTCATGGCCTTGCCTTGTAATTGAACTTCTTCTGTGAAAGCCAGCAGATAATGGCAGGAAGCCGGCCGCTGCAATACAGGAACTCAGACTGTACATTTGTTAACACTTACCTATGGATGTTTTAGCATGTTTAGGGACACGAATCAGATCTTCGACGCGGCGTCAGTCCTCCGGTTTAGTTCGGTTCCCTTGGTGAAAACACCATCGCAGCAGTGACTTCTGCAATTAAACGTGGAGAAATGGTGTTTTTTTTAGTACATCAAGGTTACTTTCTTAAGCAGCAGTTTGGTCATGAATTAGTTTAGATTAATACTTTACAAAGCATAGGTGGAAATGTTCATGTCACATGTGTTCATAAAGTTATTTTACAATTTATTCCTGTGATCAAATCATTACTCCAGTCTTCAGTGTCACATGATCCTTCAGAAATCACTCTGATTTGATGCTCAAGATTATCAAGTAACATGAATTGTATTTTCTTGTAAAGCACTCTAATAATCTGTGTTTTATTCACAACATGGAACTTGCTGGTTGATTTGCATAAAGACTAGTCTTCGTTCACGTGCTATGGAAAGTAGGATATTTTCCACTTCTGAACTGGTATTTACCAGTGTGTTGCGTTCAAGTGCTTTTGTTGTCGTAATGTGGTGGTAAAAAGATGGCGATCCAGACCTGTTATTTAAGCTAAAACTATTTTAGATTGCTTAAGTCATCTGCAACAGCAAGAAAATGATTTATCAAAACTCAAAAGGTAAATAATATGCTATATATAATATTTTCTAGGTCATGAATAGTATATATTTGTATTTTTACCATTCATCACGACTCTTGCGGTGCTCTCCGCCATTTTGAAAAAGGTTCAAAGGTCATCTCATCTCGGCAACTCGTCCATCAAAATATTCTACGAGTTGCCCAGTGGAAAATACCACATGAGGGGGTGTTGTTCATGTGCATTTTCCCAGTCGGGTTTTGCTATTTACCATAATTACCATAGCACATGAACGCAATGGGCTCTATGCACGGCGTTATTTCCGGTGAAGGATTAAGGATGCTCGATAACTTCCGCCGATCATAGAGTCCAATGCAATACCGAGAATTTATATTGAATTTTATACTCCATCATGGTTATACTAATGAAACGTTAGTCACACAAAAAAGATAAAACAGACACCCCTCGTTGTGTTTGTGCTTCTTTTTAAAATTATATTAAATAAACATAACTATATAGCCTATAAAATAACATCTAAACGTATGTACGTTTCGTTTCAAAGACGGGAGGACAGTAAATATTGAAGACTCTGCCATAATCCCGTTTTCTCCGGTTTTCCTCCGCTTTAATCTACACAACCGGAAATGGACGAGCATCCTTACGTCAAATGCGAAACTTATGCGTGCATATAGCCCATAGTCATCGCATGTTTTCCTTTAAATCTGTTTAAAGTCAGTTAACGTTACATAAAAGCATAGATTGTATGATGTGATACCCAAAAGTAAAAGTGGCTATGTCTATGCAAATTGGCCCAGGTCAAATTCTAGTCTAAACTAGCCTTTAAAATCTCATAAACTTTGATTTTTCCAGCTAAATATGTCATTTTTATTCATAAAAAGTGGCATGCAACACCAAACTGCTAACAGACGTAAGGATCTGTGAGCCAGTGGGTTTGTTGATTTCATACATTGACGGAGGCTAATAGGGGTTCATCTGGACTGGTGTCTCTCAAATGGACACTTTCGGGAGGCGGCCCTCTCATTAGAGACCCGGTCGAGCCCGGGGACTGTCATTTTCCGTCTTGATTAAGCCGTAATGACAGCAGAACTAAAGAGCCGAACAGGACGCAGGAAAAATGATAGGACGGAAAAGATCAAACGGACGTCAGACAGAAAAATTCGAGTCGGGTTCTCGGAAAGCTTAGCGGAGTCGATATTGGGTCGCCTTGGGTTATTGATTATGACTGTTATCTCTCACGACAGAGACTTTGATCATTTGAATGTTCGTATCTGCCTTCATTGCAAGCCAATCTAAGCCTCGACAGCACTCTAATGGCACGTACTGTTTGATGCACGGGACATGAGCGATACGGCTATTCCAATGCAAGCAACTTTACGACAAATTAAATATTATAACTTTGGATTCTGATAGCGGCGGAAAGTGTTTTACAGTGATGAAATGGCAAAACACAATCCCTGAATTATTAGTGCATGCATTTTCAGACAAGAAACGCAGCTCTCTGGCTTTCGAAATGCTTTAAAAGTGTAGACCCAATAATGCACATACTCTATATAAATGTGCAGTATTGTAATGTTTTAATATGGTGAGCTTGTTGGTTGATTTACTTGCCAATCACGTCAATTGGCAAAACGTTACAAACATTGATCAGCCAGACGTCTATTTGAGCAGTTTTTTTGCCTTAAGGCTTATAATATGATGACTATTAAGAACAAATTAGATGAGGTGTGATGTGAACTACCTGTTCTTCTTCTCTGTGCCAAGGATTGCTGATTACTTTTGAGAAAATCGCTATTTTGTATCTGTGAAATACTAAATCACCCTCTGCGATTGTTTATACGACTGCTCTGAACTGAAGGAAGAATAACACATAATCTATCACTTTGCCAAGTGCGAATTGTAAAATATCATTTGTGTACATTTTAGGTGTTTAATTAGAAATAAGCTTATGATGATTAAATATGAAGTCTCTTTTTCAATGCATTATATAGGGACGATGCCAAGAACTTGTCAGACTCAAGAGTTGTTGTTTTTGTTTTCAGTTCAAGGATGAATCTCATGAAAACATGTCTTCGAAGTTATTGCAAAATCACAAACTATGTGGACTTATATAGGCTACTCTAAAAAATAGCTGGGTTTGGTTTAAATCTGATATTTGACCCACACATTTGTTGAAATAACCCAGTTATATATATATATATATATATATATATATATGAAGAGTTCAGATGCAAAAGCCTCTAAATGCCATTTGAAATTTTCTTCTTTAATGATGATTTTTATCAAAATTGTATATTTAAGTTCAGTAATTTCACTTAAATAACAATTAATAGGTAATTATCATTGCCATTTAAGTTAAATCACTGAACTTAAATATACAAGCTTGATAAAAATGATCATTCTAGAAGAAAATTTCAAATGGCACTTAGAGGATTTTGCATCTGAATTCTTCATATATATATATATATATATATATTCTTTCCAGGTTTTGTGAGATTCACCCTTATGTTAAGACCACAGATGCTGCTATATGAATACATGTCTGGGGCTGTTCTTGTTCTGTTCATAGACTAGTTGACTATTGAAATATCTCAGTTAATACGTACTGACATAAACGCTCTTGATATTATATGGGGTCCACGTTTGATTGAGACCATACATGTTTTAATGACTTTCCAAGTGAATGCTTTGTAATGATATTGTTCTGCCTATATTGATTGTTCAAGCAAACATTTATGGCTTAAAAATGTTATTTAGCTACCTTAAACTTACCGAGATATTGTATGATATGTAAGCATAAAAAATAAACTTATATAAAGCATCAAATATATTTTATGCATGTGTGTTTTTTTTACATTCAAAAACCACAAATACACTTTGGTTAGAGTTTTATTATGTACATCTTTAAAAAAAAAAAAATGTCATTCACATTCTTAAATTAGCAAGTCACATTTGGTTCGAAAGTGTTATAAAAAAAATCAATAAATTCAGGTTTATAAAAGAATCTCATTAAATGGAGTATTTTAAGACAAACACAAACTTTGATGTGAGGATCAAAGCAGCATTAGTGTTTATTCACACGCCTACTGTGAGTGTATGTATAAAATGCTAATTGTAACTCTAGGATCAGTGAATTATATTTTAGCATCTAAACCAAAGTATCACAGACTGATTTGAATCAGATTATGGGGAATAAAACACCAGGAATCACAGTCCATTCACCCCTGAAGAACATTGAATCCTCTATCTTGTGCAAACATCGTCACTGCACTGTAAAAGACAGAAATATTATGTATTAATAATGAAAACTTGGGAATCCTTGAGTATAATATTAGACCTCATTTACTGTATGGAAAAGAGAAAACAACAGACACATTTTTTAATTATCTTTGAGTTTGATGCCGGTTTGGAACGACATGGGAACACTTTATTTTACAGTGTCCTTACATGTAGTTATAACTCAAAATTATGCATATCCTATCCTAACCCTATAGTAAGCACATGTAGTTAAAAGGAGAAAAAAACTTTTGCTGATAATTTACTCACCCCCATGTCATCCAAGATGTCCATGTCTTTCTTTCTTCAGTCGAAAAGAAATGAAGGTTTTTGATGAAAACATTCCAGGATTTTCTCCATATAATGGACTTCAATGGGGTCCAAACGGGTCAAGGTCTAAATGAGAGTTTCAGTGCAGCTTCAAAGGGCTTTAAACGACAGCAGACGATGAATAAGGGTCTTATCAAGCGAAACGAGCGGTCATTTAAAAAATAAATAAAAAAGTTAAGTTTTATAAGCACAAATGGTCGCCTTGCTCTGTTCTGTGATGCATGTTCGTGACTCTCCTGTTCGAACTCGTTCAACAAAATGAACAAATCTTTTTCGAGTCATTTTGTTCATTCAATGAAAGATTCCTTTATTTTGATGAACGAGTTCGAACAGGAAAGTCGAGCAAGGCGAGCATTTGTGCTTATAAAACGTAAACTTTTGTATTTATTTATTAAATGAGTGATTGTTTCGCATGATAAGACACTTATTCATCGTCTGGTGTCGTTTAAAGCCCTTTGAAGCTGCACTGAAACTCTCATTTGGACCTTTAACGTTTGGACCCCATTGTAGTCCATTATATGGAGAAAAATCCTGGAATGTTTTCATCAAAAACCTTAATTTCTTTTCGACTGAAGAAAGAAAGACATGGACATCTTGGATGACATGGGGGCGAGTAAATTATCAGAAACTTTTTTAAAAGTGAACTACTCCTTTAACTTAATATTACTTGGTACTTAAATATATTATTACTCTGAAACAATGACACAGAATGTACGTTTTTTAGGATGAACTACACCTTTAGTAAAGGCAAGTCGATCTTTCAAGGATATAATCAAAGGAGAACTCAGACGCACAGATCAGTCTGTCACTACATTTACAGTCGTGTGAAAGTAACCAATCGCACGCAGGAAAAAGCATCGGTGGCTCAAAAATGACAACAGACACCGGCAGTCTTTAATGGATAAACATGACCTGCGACACGTCCTGTTATTGAACTTCAAAGCAACGTCAGCGATTCCAAATGTAACTTTAATACAGAGCAGCTGTGGTGCTTCATCATATTAACCCTTGTGCTGCATTAGATTTTTAACACCGTTGAGTG